CTTATGGAAAGGTTATCATGCTACCTGCTGTCACTTTTTTATAGCCAACTCTGATATTCTTTTCTTTTGGTTGTCTGAACTCTAGAAGTTCTTAATACTTAAGAACTTTCATTGGCTGAAAATGCCAATGGGTGATCTTCATCCTTCACCCACTTCCTGTTTGACCCCTTAGCTTCTCTGCCACCTTATCTCCTCAGCCAGGATTCACATGTCTTTGTATTTCTCTTCTTCTGGCTTATAAGATAATTCCCTTTATTTGGTCTTCTCATAGTAATAATTCAGTTCTCAGTGGTGAATTTTCTTTTTTCATTTTTTTTTTTAATTTTTAAATTTGGGAGTCATTATATTTTTTAGTTTTGGCAAGCCATTTTTGTGCCTCAATTATATCCTCTTGAGAATTCCCCTTCCTTTTTTTGTTAAAAGTGATGCTTTCTCTATTCCACTAAAGCTGCCTCTGTTGCCAACTGTACTATTTGTTAAGCTGGGTTTCCTCCCCCAAGTTCCTGATCCTCTCTTAAAGATGTGCTGGTAACCGTCCCCTCACAGTTCAGACGTTGGGTAAATTAAACAAGTGGATGGAGGACAACAGAACATGTTTTCTCCATTCTTGCCCATCAGGCCCAAGAACTCCAGTCAGCCCTCTCCGCACGTGGAAGTGTCCATCCACGCTAGCTGGCAGTGATTTGTGAAATTGAACATAAGCAAATCAACTATTGTGTTAAAAAAAAAAAGTGTCCATTCCTGATGGTTTAGAAATGAGAGGGTAAATAAATGGTGAAATGTGAAAGCTCATTAATTATATGACAACAACAATTATTTATGGTATATGACAGCCAAATTCAAGCAAATGTATACTATCTAAGGGAAGTATGGCCACTGATGAGAATGGGAGAATCACATTACATGCATTCCTCGCATTTTTTACAGGAAAATTTTAGGTGACCTGACCAGCTAAGAGTCCCAGAAGAAGCAACCTTGCTGACCATGCTCAATCTGGGCCTTGCCTCAAGCAGTGCTGATTGACCCATGAATGGGCAGACATAGTCATGATGGAGCCATGTAAGTAAGTTCAATGAATACAGAAGACGATCAAAGATATGAGAGAATAGAAACAGAGTTATAGATAGAGGTGGGAAGGGAGAAAAAAAGTAAAAATGAGACACCTTACCTCTTACTTCATTTACAGTTTGGGATTCTAGTCATTCATAAAACCCTGCTCTATTTCTGGCTCTTTGGTTTCAACCCTTCTTTAAAATTATAGTTAATTTATACAGCATATTCTCTCTTATCTAAGCTAGTTTGACTAGCTTGAAATATTTTACTAGCTAGTTTGAAATATTTCTGTTTCTTGCAAGCAATCTCAAACTAAAACCAAACCCAAGTTAAAATTATGGTAATCTGATCAATTTTGCCAGATCTTTCTCATATCTTTCTTGAACTTTAGGGTCAAAAAGCCAACTACCTACTTGAAATCTTCACTGGGTATCTAAAATTATCTCAGATTAACATTTTACAACATAATTCTTGTTTTCTTTATATTTTTCATATAAACATGCTCCTGTATCAATTTTCTTCATCTCAGTAAATGCACCAAAATTTACCCAGGCGCTTAGGCCAAAAATTTAGTTGCCATTCTTGATTCTTCTGTTTTGGTTACGTACCATATCTGACTTACCTCTATAGTAGACATTACTACTTTTTCCCAATATTCAGTTCACTCTATTCTAAATATACAAAAGGACTGCATTTCCTTGTCTCCTGGAACTCAGTCTCTGGGTGCCTTTCTCTGGATGAAATATTAGGGGAAAATACATGCATCATTCCTTTTATAAGCATTTCTACAGAGGAATTGATTGTCTATCTGTTAATATCATGTGATAGATATTTCACATAGTGGAGTATTGTCAGCCTGGGTTTCTGACTAAGCCAGAGCCTTCTGCAGACTAAAGATATATACAAATAATACGAGTAAGAAATAAACAACAACTTTTGCTGTTTTAAGATGCTGAGATTTAGGGATTGTTTGTAACTGCAACATGAGCTGGCCTATCCTAACTGAAAACAGCCCGCAAGTCCTATTGGCTGTATTATTGAAGTACACATCAAACTTGATACTTGCTACCTCATTTCCTACCATCACAATATTTCAATGCATCCTCATCTTTTGCCTGAATTTGCTGCAAGAGCCTCTTAATCAGTCTTTGCTTTCCTGCTTTAATATCTTTAAAGGCCATTTTCCAAATAGCAGCTAGGCTTGTTTGTTAAAGATGGAGTATATCGTGTTACTCCCCTTCCCCAAAGTCTTCAACAAGTACTCTTTAGAATAAAATTCAACATCTCCCTGTAAACCACAACATCCCTCTTTAAACCACAACATCCTATAATCTGACCTCTGCCTATTTTTCCAAAATTGTTTCCTGCCTTTCTTTTATCTCTCTGTTCCATCCACACTGGTTCTCTTACCACTGCTAGAACACAATAAGCTCATTCTCCCCTCAGGGTTTTTCTCTTGTGGTTTCCTCTGTGTGGAATGTCCTACTGGAGACCTCTGTGTGGCTTGGCTTACTCTCTCCCATTGTACCAATCTTTATTCCAAGATCACATCCTCTGCTCAGTCTCTATATTATCTAAACCCACATCCCCCAAACATTCATTATCCAATTGCCTTGTTTTATTTTGTAAAGCACACTTTGAACTCTAATTTTTTTTATTTGCTTACTTTATGTTAAGCAAACATAATTTTTTTTTCTAGACTATCAATAACATAAGGCAAGAATTTTGTTTTTCAGTTCCCTGTCCCTGAAATAAAAAAAGTGTCTGGTGCTTAGTGAGATACAATAAATATTTGTCAAATGAGTGAATTCATGAATAAACAGCTTAAACAATCAGGGTGTCAAAACAGTACTACGACAAAAACACAATTGAATTATTATAGAAGCAATGCTTTTTTTAAGTCTTTAACCTAGTTTGTTCGTTATAACAGAGCAAAAAATAAGTCAAAATACTGCTAATTATTTATGATCTACCAGTGATAACTCATGTATGAAGTAACACCTGATGTGTTCAGATTAAGTTGTTTAAATTAGCATATTGAAATAAGGAGTCTTTTAAAAGAGAATCAGCATAGGATATGTTTAAAGTTGCAATAGCAATAACTAAGTTGTGTTTCTCTATCCACATTATATATTCTACAATGGACCCAAAAATAGTCCAGGAAAAAAAAGGATATGAAAGCAAAAAAAAAAGAAAAAAAAAACACAAAGACAAGGTAGGCAAGTGAATTAAGTAGAAAATATTAGGCTGAGAAATTTCTAAGGAAAATAACTTTCTGAATAGTTTAACAAGAGAGGATCTATCAGTAGAATTTGTCAATAAGCTGCAAAAGTAACAAACATGTTTATTCTTCATCACCATCTCCTCAATGATATGTATTTATGCATACTTCCATCACATGCCAAGGTGACACACATGGACACTTCCTCCAGTGGGGCATATCCTTGGATTATTATTCTGGTGGAAATGATGGATATGCACTGATACACTTGCTCAGTTATCAACTTTCACTCATGCAACCTGCTACCCTTTTGCAAAGCAGATGGCCCAGGTATGGAGCATTTACTTTAACCAAGAGATATATTGAAGATAACTGGCTTTTAACAGAACTGAGCTGCTTCCCCTGGCCTCGGTGGCATGCCAAAGAGGAATGTGTGTTAAAGTCATGAGAATTAGGTCAGACTCTTAGCTTTCTGACTTTCCAATCTTGAGTATGCCATTTAAGCTTTGGATGCAGGATGAGGACGAGGATAACAATGTCTATCCCTAGATGTCAGGTTTTATAAAGTTTTTGTGAAAATAAAACAACAAGAGTCAAAGACATGTTTTGTAAGCTGGCTAGTTTAGATATGTTTTTGTTCTGCTTCGAGATAATTTAAGGTATCCTCTAAATTGAAGCTGTCATATTTATACATTTCAAAGTAAGAGGAAAAGAAAGAACTAGCACCAAAATGAGTATGTTTGGCCATGTGGCCTTTACTTCTACTTGAGATTAACAATGTTCGTATCTAGTAACTATTGAAATTATAATAATGAGAAAATGACATCACTGTTTCCTTAAACAAACAAAGCCACCAAGCACTATCTCTCATTAGAAAACCCCACAGCCAGCCCCTATACCCAATCATTTCCAAATAATCCATCTCCTACCCAAGGAGAAAGCTAAATTAATGTCCACCATACATTGAAAGAAACATTTTTATAACCCTTATGCGAATATCTGAGCAGAGAAACCAAAGTCAAAAGGAAAATGCACAAGACTGTGCATTGCCTGAAACCTACTTGCTGTTACAATATGGAAATTGACAAACTTCTAAAATATAAAGTTCCATGGTTTCTAGTTGTTTTGTTGCCTTATTTGAGTGATTCTTCTCTTCATCACTAAACATATCGCTAAATAGGAGGCATGATGAATACTCTGATGGAAGAATCTAGTTTCATAAAAACTCCTGGTCATAATAATTCAGCTGTCAATTATCCGCGGCCACTACAATCTCACACTCAGAAGTCCCTTTAGTGAAGTGATTGGTTATAAATACAGAAAACATTGGATGCTAAATAATTTTTGAACACCAAGAATCGCAAGTCAACAATCATTATCTTTAAGGAAAATAGCACAAGAAAGACCTTGTATTCTTAATGAAACCTATCTCGTTCTTTTATTCACACTTACAACCCATATTATCCAAAAACATAAAAATGAGATTATGGCTAAATAAATCTGATTGCTTTGCCCATCTTCATCATCAAACCAATCTACACAATTACTGCAGTCAATTAATTACAAGAAAATATATAATCACCTGTGTAATCTAAATGAAGAATGGTCAGCTAGCTTTGGCTCAACGGACTAGATCTAGTTGATATTTATGAAATTTATCTGTTTTGGGAATCAAGGATCAAATTACACTGTCTTGAATGTGCACTGATGACGATGTTTCTCTTACCTCGTGGTGATTCTTGGCCAGCCATTCTTTAATGGTGCTGAGCGCAATGACTGCAGCAGGCTCATTTGGAAAACCTAAGTGAAGAACAGAAAAAAACAAATGAACAAAAACAGATGAAGGCAAGAGACAGCAATCATGTTTGTGATACTGCAGTTTTCTCATTTAAATAGTATTTAATTCAACCAATGAGTATTGAGCAAGGCAGGCCTCAGTAAGGAATACATGGCTGTGAAGCCTGCAGGCCTACACACACAAGGCATTAGGTGGGCTGGTCCTATACCAGTACACAATTAAAAAAATAATAAAGGGTTTAATTGTCTCTTCAAGCCCATAACAGTATCAATTAAAAACATATTTGCATATGCTTAATAATTACAAATCACTTTCATATAACGTTTTTACAAGAAGCACTCAGATTAAGGCTCATTACCCTCCGCTTAAAAACCAAGTACATGCGACTTGGAGAAAATATGTGGCTGGCCCAGGGTCACAAGGGCAGCAGTACTCCATCAGTGAACTGCCATAAGGGAGGACAGATAACTTGCCAAGCAGTCACGCCACAAAATTCAAAGACAGTTACTCCTGCTCCATTTAGGGACATCAGAGATGATGTTTGGGATTAAGACAATCTGAACTGAGCTGATCTTGTCATGTGGATATAATTTTAAAAGGGCAGCAAGGAGGACAGACTGATGCTTTGTTCCAGGGAGCCTGATCACACATAGAGTTTCCAAAACACATCAAGAATGCCTGTTTAGCTTGTATAAAGTGAACATGTTCCCGAACCTGCAGAATCAGACATTCTGCCAATAGAGATGGTATGTGAAGGAATAACCTTATAAATTTATGTATTAATGGGGTAGAAAAAAGAAGAGTTACTATTCTATGAAAACTACTATCTTTAAGCTCACCCGCTGGCTTCTTAATCACCAAATCCCATTGCCTTTCAGTCAGTCTTCAAATTCTGTTATTAAACGCGCTTAACTAGCTTTTCATGCTTTACTCTCTTCTCTGCTGGATTTTTATTTTTTAAGTGTTTTTTTTATTAAAAACTCAGTGGTTTTTTTTTAACATGTTCATAAAGTTGTGCAACCATCAATAATTCCAGATTAATTCATCATCCTAAAAAGAAGCACTGTGCCCATTACCAGTCACCCCCTCCCCCACCCTGCAATCTCCTCTCCCCAGCCCCTGGCAACCATTAATATACTTTCAGTCTCTGTGGATGTGCAGATATTCCTCCTGGATTTCTCAACACTGCATCCCCTTCCATATTTTCTCCTTCCCATTTCACTAATTCTTCCCTGGTTCCTTATTCTAAGAGCATCCAATATATATATATCCTAAACTTAGCCCTCTTTTTTCTCTATGTTCTCTACTTTAGCCAGCCCCAGTGTCATCCACTAGCATGCCTCTGAGGACACCTTCCAGTCAGGGAGGCTCCTGAAACATCATCCACGTAGAGGCAGAAAGAGAGATGTTGATAAAATGAAGCGATCTAAGACTTAAAAGACTCAGTTTTATTGGGGGGTAAATACATATTCTAGTAGTTCACACTGATGGTTCACACCTCGGTAGGCCTTCAGAACAGGAAAGAAAGGTGTTGTCCCCATTTCCAAGAATATATGTTGCTTTTCTAATTAGGTTTCTACAGGCTTTGCTAGAGAGTGTGTTAGGAAAGGGGAAAAAAATAAATCAGTGCCAAGCTCCATTTTTCTTAATTTCTAAACGAGACAGAGCAACTATGCTAGGGAAAATGTGCACAAGTTCTGAAGCCTTTGTAATGTCTATGACATTTGGGACTGTGGATTTGTTATGAGTTGTTTAATCCTATTCATTTTCTTTAAATGAATGCTTTAAAGTGTGAAATCCTTAAAATTAAAAAAAAGTTAATCAGTTAATTCATTAAACAAATTTTTATGGGAAGGTGGGAGGGGGGAGGAAGGGATGGGTATATACAAACACAACGAGTAAGATGTGCAATGTTTGGGGGATGGACACGCTTGAAGCTCTTACTCAAGGGGGGGCACAGGCAATATACACAACTTTAATACGTGTACCCCCATAATATGCTAAAAAAAACAACGAATTTTTATTGAATCAAAAATTAGTAGATATGTAGACATTTTTAATGAGTCCCTGTCCTTTAAAAGACCAGGGTCCAGGGGAGGAAAAAGATGGCTTTAGTCACAACCATAGTTCTCTCTCCTAGTCATCACCACAGTTGTCTGGGTTTCCTGTTGGAAATTGAGTCCTAAAGGTTCTGTCCTGCTCAAATACTTTTCACCTCTCCTTCCTTTCCTCCTTTTTATTACCATTAATCCCATTCAAGGTTTGATCAGCCCTCACCCAGACAACTGCAGTTGACCTTTAATTGAGGTCCTTTGGTCTTCCTCCCTGTCTCCCATCTGCCCAGCACAACCACCTCCAAGTGACTCTTCCTAAATCATAATCATTACACCACAACCTTATACAGAACAAATCCAGCCTTTGTTGACTCTCCAGTTCCTACAAAATAAACTAGATAATCTCAGCATAGCATTACACATTTCACTGGCCCCAAGGGAACTTTCTAGATTTATGTCTTAGTTTTCCCTATTTATTCTCCCCATGAAATTCTCCAACTTTTAGGTTTGTTTAACAAGTATTTAACTCATAAAATTATAGGGTTATATAAAATACTGTAATCACACTCAGTTGCAATGGTCATCAACATTAACGTTCACCTTTAGAAGACATAATTCCCCACGGAGAAATTATACACGTTTTTATAGAACCATGGCAACTACAGTCAGTTCTCAATTATTCGTCACCTCCTGGTCATTTTCTCAAAGCCTCCAGCACTGAGTTATGGTTTTCATCCTGACCTTGAGGTTTGCTGTTAACTCTGGGTGATTTCAACATCCAAGAGGGTGAGCCACCCAACACCTGGTCTGCCAGTTCCTCAACCTGCTCATCATCAACAACAGTGTCCACCACCCCAAGCCACCTCCTCCCTGAATACACCCTGAACCTTGATGTCACATTTCCAGTCCAAAGTAACTAACCGAGGTAGAGCTCTCTCAAAACCTGTTCTCTACTGGGTTTGTTTGTTCCGTTACTTTTCAAGGAATACCTTTTCACACACATTGGAAACTGACTCTATGCTCAAACCACTCCTCAAATTAATGCCAGCGTTTCTCCCCTGCAAGGCCCGGCTCTTTCCTATCTCTCTAGGCTCATTCCATGCTATATTGTTCTTTGTTTTGTCCACTTTTATTTGTCCTCGGCTCAGTTATCACTTCTTCAATCTTCTCTGACATTGATGACTGCCTGTTTTATGCTTTCATAACACCGAGTACCTTTTATATCACAGACTCATCATTGCAATTCAACATTTATTTATGTAAATATGTCATTAATTACCTTAAGGTGGAAGTCCAAAGAAGGCAGATAACACATCTGTCTTTGCTTATCACTTACAACCTTGCTGGTACATAGGAAATGCTTACAACCTTGCTGGTACATAGGAAATGATCAATACATAGGTGTCGAATGATTGATTTGAGAACAGACTCGTAGATCCTTGTATGTATTGACAACAGGAAAAGACTCATTTACTGGGAGCACAAGGGTGTTTAGCCTTAAAATACAGGGAGGATAAAGGGCTGCTGAGAAGATACCCAAACAGATCGTTATATCCCAAACATTCTATTTCATCCCTAAGAGGAAAATTGTCGAGAAGATTTATAAGAGAAAACTTAGCTCCTGATGGGAAGATTTTTGTGATTAATTAAAAGGGGCGAGAAATATCAAGACAATATCCCTGAAAATATTCCTGCTTTCAATGGACATGCATGTACAAGATAGAGCATGCTGTCCCAGGCCAAACAGCAATAGGACAATTCTTTGTCCACTTAACTGAGAGACCCCAAGGGTTACAAATAAGACCCATGAATAGACAAGAACAGATTTTAGCCTCAGGATGGGCTTCCAAGGACAGCAAGGCCTACCACAGGGGGCTACAACATATTCTGGTCACCAGGGGACTTTTGTTCACAAGAGCAGAATGGCTACCTACAGGGAAGGCTACAGACAAGCTCCAGATGAATCACTGAATTAGATGACATAGAAAATCTCTTCCAAGTGTGAGGGTCAATGGGGCTGAACAAGCCATTCATAATTTAGGACCAGGCATATAAGGAGTTGTGTGTGTCCCCAGGCATTCATGGAATCTGGTAGCATTCCAAAGCTTAGTTCCCTACTCATTAGGATGGATTATTAAAATTAACTTTCATTGTAAATATGGAAGTTGACTCATATGAATGATTTTTATTTTTGTATTGAAAGTACTTATAAAATTTTACATATTGTATACACATACACATGGACCATTATGCAGCTTAACCTCTAAAACACTCCAACAGCCCAGAAAGCTGCCTTGTCCCGAGTTAAAATAATCACTATTCTGATTTCTATTATCATAGGTTAGTTTTATCTCTTTTTATACTTCATATTTATGGAATTATATGTTCTTTTGTGTCTATATTTTGTTCAACATTATGCCTGCCTGATTTATCCATGGTGTTACGTGTAATGGTAGCTCATTACTTTTCATCTTAGTGTTGCATTCCAATGTGTTGATATTCCACCATTCATTTACGCTTTTTAGCATTAATGAACAATTGGATTATTTCTAGTTTGAGACTAGAGCTATTATAAAGCTGCCACGAATACTCTCCTCCATGTCTTGGTGGATATAAGCACGTGTTTCTGTTGAGTATATATACCCAGGAGACAGAGCTGCTGGTTCACAGGTTATGAAGATGTCTGACTCTAATAGATTCTGCCAGTTTTCCAAGGCAGCTGTGACAATTTACACTCCCACCAGAAGTAAATGAAAGTTTAAGATAGCATATTTATCTATAAATATCTACCTATTTATATAGCATGTCAAGTTGTACTTTCTATTTGCTTGACCACATTTAAAGCTATTGGAGGTATCTTTAGGCTATTCGATAGTTTTCACAACTAGAAGCCCAGACAAGTTTGATAATTTGCCTATGTTCTCACTGTATAGCAGTGATGTCCCTAA